ATTGCTACGGGCTGTTCGGTCCCTATACAAGCTGTGCAACAGTTTGGTTCGAATTGCCGGTAGTAAGTCGGACCCCTTCAGGGTAGAGGACTCCAGCAGGGCGGCCCATTCTCACTGATTCTGTTCATAACTTTTATGGACAGAACTTCTCGGTGCAGCCAGGGGATGGAGGGAGTGGCTTCAGGATTCCATCTCTGCTCTTTGCAGATGATGTGCTCCTGTTGGTGACATCATGCCGTGATCTTCAGCTCTCACTGGAGGGGTTCGCAGCCGAGTGTGAAGCAGATGGGGTGAGAATCAGCACCTCCAGATCTGAGGCCGTGGTCCTCAACCGGAAAAGAGTGGATTGTTCTCTTCAGGTTGAGGGTGAGGTGCTGCCTTAAGTGGAGGAGTTCAAGTATCTTGGGGTTTTGTTCACGAGTGAGGGAAGAATGGAGCGTGGGATTGACAGACAGATTGGTGCAGCATCAGCAGTATTACAGACTGTGCCGGTCCGCTGTGGTGAAGAGGGAGCTGAGCTGTAAGACAAAGCTCTCTGTTTACCCATCAGTCTACGTTCCAACCCTCACCTCTGTTCACAAACTCTGGGTAGTGACTGAAAGAATGAGATCGTGGATTCAGGAGGTTGAAATGAGTTTCCACTGCAGGGTAGCTGGACTCTCCCTTTGAGACAGGGTGAGAAGTTCAGTTATCAGGAGAGACTCGGAGTAGAACCGCTGCTCCTCCCCATTGAAAGGAGCCAGTTGAGGTGGTTCGAGCATGTCCGACTCCGAGGAGACCCCGGGGAAGATCCAGGACACGCTGAAGAGACTATGTCTCTCGGTTGTCCTGGGAACACCTTGGGGTCCTCCCAGAAGCTTAATGACGAGCTTTTTTATTTTTCCTCACTCGAGCAAGACGGATGCAACTTCTTCCCTCTCTCGTCTCCCTCCTGCTTTTTTTACTCTCTGTCTTTTGTATCGGAGCTTCTATTTACACATCTTCCAAATCGTAAATTACTGACATGGATCTGGTCTGTTGGACTTTAAATGCA